CGCCCCCTCCTCCGCCAGCCATCCCCTCCGCCCCCCAGGCTGTGATCTCCAGCGTCAATGAGACCTCCCTCGTGCTGGAGTGGACCCCTCCCCGTGACTCTGGAGGCCGCGAGGACCTGGTCTACAATATCATCTGCAAGAGCTGCGGCTCGGGCCGGGGCGCCTGCACCCGCTGCGGCGACAACGTACAGTATGCACCCCGCCAGCTGGGACTGACCGAGCCACGCATCTACATCAGCGACCTGCTGGCCCACACCCAGTACACCTTCGAGATCCAGGCGGTGAACGGGGTCACCGACCAGAGCCCCTTCTCACCGCAGTTCGCCTCTGTGAACATCACCACCAACCAAGCAGGTGAGCAGGGCAGGTGCGGGCGGGCCAGGGGACAGGGGCATCTTGCTGTAACAGGTGGTCCCCACCAGTCTTGAGAGACCCTCCTGCAATGGGTGCAGCAAATGCTTTTCATGTGACCACTTGTTGAAAGAGCAACCACTCCATTGGAGTGGTGTTTATAGACATGACTGCCTTCTATGAGGGCAGCCTACTAAAGGTAAGAGTTAAACTGCCAGAGCAAAAAGACCCATCGGTTGGTAGGTTAGGGAATACACATGCCTGTAATCCCAGCACTCTGAGAGGCTGAGGCAAGAGGATTGCAAGTTCAAGCCCAGCTTGGGCAACATGGTGACTTAGTGAGACCCTGTCTAAAAATAAAAAATAAAAGGGTGAAGATATAACTCAGTGCAAAGGCCCTGGGTTCAATCCCCAGCACCATGACCACCCAAACAAAAAAATGCAAAACTGTATTTCTCTGTCTCGGAAGAGTCCCGAGGTGAGCGGTCCAGGCTTTGGGGTGGATGTGACCTCCCAGAGGGACCTGGGACCCAGGCTTCTCACCTACGTGGTGAAGCTGATCTTACTGCAGGCAGCAGGTGGGCAGGAGCAGCACCCATCACTTCCGTGTGCAACCTGAGGGACACACCGTGTCCATGGGGCCTCACCAAGATGGCATCTCCTTGGCCTGACTTCAACCTCTGTCACAGTGGAAAGGGGTGGCAAGGTCTGGGGATATCCAGCAGTTTGTGTAAGTGCTTCCTTTGACCCTCAGCACCCTGCCTAACCGCAGCAGATGCTCATCAGCAGCAGCATCTAGAAACATCTTTTCTCCTGGCGCTCACTGTTCATGGTCCTTTCTGTGGCCCATGACCCCTTCCAGTGTCCACCTGACTTCCTTCAGTGTGGCCAACCAATGTGGCCCTGGCCCCGCCTCTCCTCTGTCGCTTCCATGGGGGCTCTGGCCCCACCCCGCCACCACAACCGCTGCCCTCAGTGTACCTGAGACCTCTCCAAGGCCAAGTGCTGCCCCACTCCCCACCTGAGGGCCGCGTGAGGCTACCGAGGACATTGTGGCACCCCTGGGTAGAAGATCTTGTGGTTGGCACTGAGTGTGCCCCTCTCTTATTCACTCAACAACCTTCGCTGACCCCCTTGGTGAGTGTGGTCCAAGAGCAAGGGAAGCCAGGCTGCAGGGAGGGGAGCAAGCGGGCAGCTGCCCAGCTTGTCCGCATGGGAAGTGGGCCTGTGGTCAGCACCAGGACTGGAGGGAGAGGTCAAGGTAGGCCAGGAAGGCTCCCTGGAGGAGGCAGGGTGTGATCTGCAGTTGCAAAGATCATAGAACTGTGAAGGAAGCAGAAAGAATGGAGTCCCAGGAAGGGCCAGGGCATGTGCAGGGCGTGGGCAGCAGGTGCTGACCTCACTGCACCCCAAGGTCTCCAAGCCCCAGTTTCACAGGTGACACTCAGAGAAGTTGAGTCTCAAAGCCAGGAAGAGTGCGAGGCAGGAATCAACCTCTAACTCCCCCTATCACTTGGGCAAAGTGCAAGTATGCCCGGGAGCCCAGGGGTCTGTGGCCCATGGGAGTCTGTGTGTGCAAGAATGTAAGGGGTGACAGGGGACGGGGCGTGCTTGACCATGACTTCGTACCGCTAAGTGTGGCCGTACCTGCCTGTGTCTGCCGAGGAGCCTGGCTTGTGTGGGACCATGCAGGTGGTGCGTGTGGCTGAGAGGCAGCTTGTAAACCCATGCCTACGGTTCTTTCAGGGCCACAGGTGCACTGAGATCTCATGAGACTGGGGCTGACTCAGGCAGCATATCATAGAGCTCCAAAAGCCACAGCTGCTGGCCAAGACCCCAAGCAGGTTACAGAGCCCTGGCTGCAAATTTTTCCAGCTTGACAACGCGCTGAGATGGGCAGGTCCTGGCTCCCGGCAGGTAGAGGGGAGTCAGCGCTTTGCACCTGGGAGGAGCCAGAAAGGAGGCTCCGGGCTGTTTTCCCTGCATCCGTGGGGAGCCTTGAGGACGAGCTGGCAGCTAAGATGCCTCAGTCTATAAGCTGTAGGGTCGGAGGGCCTCTGGGATGGGCCCCTCCTGTCTGGACCTGGGCACCCCAGAGAGCAGAGCTGAGGCAGAGGCGGGGAGTGAGGGGGCTTCAGGGAGGAGCGGTGCAGGGGAGCCCTGTGGACGAGAGACAGAGAAGCAGAGAGGAGCAAGCCCCGGAGTAGGAGCAGGGGGCCCACTTCGGGTCCCAGCTTTGACATCCATTTGCTGTGCAGCCTTAGTGCACTGGTGGCAAACCTATGCCCTGCACGCTGCGGGCAGCTCTTCTTTACCACTGAAAGCTCTAAAGGGTTCACCATCACTGCCTTAGGGTATTAGCCCTTCTGCTATACTAGTGCCGCATTGTAAAAAGCCACCCCAAAGCTCGGTCGTTTACAAGACACTTGTGTTGTCACTCACCAGGCTGTGGCTCAGCTAGGGTTCAACTCTTCCCAGCTGGTGCTCTGTGTCGGGCAGAGATCCCAGGTGAAGGTGTGGGTTGTGCTCAGTCTGTCCCATGTGTCCCCTCCTCCGTGTTGGATCAGCAGTCGGCCCGGGATCTCTCAAAGTTAGGAGACTCCTTGTACTCTACCTAAGCACCAGCTCCTCTGCCACAGGATCTTTGCACATGCTGCCCACACTGCCTCACTCTGCCTTCAGACCTTAGCTCATTTCACTGACATTCCTGACTTGGACACCCTCTCCCCAGCTCTAGCTCTGTGGCCTTCATGTTCCTGTGGTTGAAATTTTAGCCTTATGACTTTGATCGCTGAGTTCCTGTCTGTCTCCTCCACCTTCACCACTCAGCAGTATGCGATGGGTCTGCTTTTCTTCACCATGGCTTTCCCAGTGGGACATCTCGCCATGAGCGGTCAGTGAACATTTGCAGATGGGCTGGAGAAAGCACGGAGCGAGTTGGGGTGTGGAGATGCAGAGTGAGGCTGGAAAACAGGGCTGGGGACTCGGTTTCCAGACCGTGGAGTCAGTGGCCAGTTTTAGACAGACCCTAAAATCTCACATATAAATATCTAGCTCATTGCCTTAAAAGGACAAAGCATGTCTTTTGGGCACGTGGCTGGCGTTGCTCATGATCCCTTGTCATTCGCCAGGCCAGAGCTGTCTTCTGATGTCATAAAGCCACCACGCAGCTCCGAGCCACACTGCGCCCTTCCAGAGCACCTTCCACCCCGGGTCACAGGTGGTGCTCACAGCCAGAGGAAGGATGCCAGGCTGTGCCTGAGGATCAAGGAAGCGGGTGGGAGGTCAAGCTCAGCAGCCAGGTCTACTGTGCCAGGAGTGAGCCGGCTCCTGGTGTGCACAGACTCTGCCACGCCGGTCATGCTGCCTTCCAGTGTCACCCAGGCAATCGCCACATGTCCCCATCTCTGCCAGGTTCTGGAGCAGGAGGTGGGAAGGACCCAGGCTTTGGAATCAGGAGCACAAACCTGGCTGAACCGGGTCTGGCTGCCCCCGGGACGCAGCCGAGGGGCAGCATTTAGCTTGCATCTGGTCACCTCTTCCCCACGGGCCACGTCACCTCCTCCATACAGGGCTGCAATGAGGATTTCAGCAAATGCACCCACCCCGTGCCTTGCAGGCTCCTGGCACAGGTGGGCACTCAAAATGCAGCGATTGCCCACATTCATTCTGTAGTCACAGAAACAGCTTATGTTTGCCAGCTGTTTGCTACATGCCCAGTGCTGGCCTGGGGCCTAGATGAAGCCTCACACTTCGAGCAGGTACATCCTATGGTTCTCTCGCTCTGTAGATAAAAGCAAATCAAGGTACCAAGAGGCCAATGACTTAGCGAAGGTCACCCTGACAGGAAGTCGCAGAGCCTGGATAATTACACCACTGTGTACTCAGGGCCCAGAGCTGGCCAGAGCCCACCTTCTGCAAAAATGGGGCAAGCTGCCCGTACAGCATCCACACCTCAGCCTGGTCAGGCATCTGCAGCCTCTGAGGCCACCTGGCATGAGCATGGAGGGACCAGTCAGGACACACACCCATCCTGCGGTCCTGGGTGTCACATGGGAAAAAAGACAGCACCGCCAGCAGGACACACCCAGCCCTCATAACCACCTTAGTTGTGCCCAGCCTGTCCGGGAGTCCTGACCTCTGAGAGCCTCAGGTCTCTTGCCCACACAGCGGGCACTTACCTGCCACCTAGGCTTTGCCGGTGGTTGTATTAACAGTAATGTGGACAGCACACCCAGCACATGGGGCAATGCGCAACAGCTGGGCTTAGTTTCCTACGGCTGCCACAACAAAACACAGCTGATCTGGCAATTTAGAGCTGCACCACGAAAGATCCCACAGCCCCATAGGTTCTGGAGGCTGATGTGGGGCCCAGCAGGCCAAAGTCAGCTCTGTGAGATATACATGTCCCTTTCTAAGGGATCGTCTGCTTTCTGGCTTATGGAGGTCATCAGCAGAATTTCACTGCATGCAGTTCTAGGAGGCCTCGAGGGCCCTGCTTCCTGGCAGAGTATCAGCGGGGAGCCATCCAAGCTCCTTGAGGCCCCTCAGGTCCTTACAGAACCCCCTGCCATCGCTAAAGCAGCCACAAGGTGTGCGGCTCTTTCCATACTTGCCGGCTCTCTGTCCCCACTGGGCAAAGTTCTTGCTTTTAAAAACTTGAATGATTGAGCTGGGGATTTAGTTCAGCGGCACAGCGCCTGCCTGGCAAGCGTGAGGTCATGAGTTCGATTCCCGGTACCGGAAAAAACAAACAAAAAAATACTTGAATGATTATGTTGGGTCTGCCTGAATAATCCAGGAAAATCTCCACAGATCCCCAGGGTTAGGACATGCATGTCTTTGGAGGTCTTATTTTGCCTCCCATAGGAGGCAACCCACATCATCCAGAAATACTCCAACATGGCAGGGGCCTTAGAGGCCAAGAAGGAAGCTGAAGCCCAGAGAGGTTCCTAAGAGGCTGCCCTGGATCACATGGTCCATCCTTAGTAGGACAGGTCCCC